GTTTTTGTTTTAGTAATCAAATGACATAGTTAAGTTTAGAAGTCAATTCCTGTCTTTCCTTCTGTGTGTGATGTTTCTGATGTCAGTTCAGATTTAAAAGCTTTCACTCTGCTATTTGGATCTGCTCCTCAATATACATAACTCAGGGATTAGTTTGTGTTATTGCTCAAAGCCTCTGCATGCCTTGTTAAATGTGTTCCATGTGTGCTCTTTGGGTAGGATGCTGGGACTTGTGTTTGTTTATTCACAGAACTAGGGAGTCCTGTCTTCAGGTCATTCCCCTCCAGAATTTACCCCATACTTTCTATACTCCAGGGGCACCTTTTCCTACATTTTTTCTGGCCAAAATTATGGCGTGCCCTCAGAATCTTATCTTCCCAAGCTATTGTACAACCTCATGCCAACATGGGGGAAAGTGGCAAGAGAAAAGAGGGGGAAATGCTTGGATTTCCTTCCATTTTGTGCACTACCGAGGCCTCTTTCCCTAGCTCTTCTATCCTGAGAGATGGGTTTTGCTCAGTACTTCAGGTGACTGCACTGCTGCTGCTTTTGCCATGGTAAAACAGATCTGTAAGTGAGGTTAACCTTGGGGTGAAAACAGAAGGGGAAAAAGAGAAAAAAACAAAACACATAAAACATGGGTTCAGCCCCACACTCTCTGGCTCAAATGTGGTCATTTCTCAGCTATCTGGTCATTTCACAGCTCTCCCTATGCCTACCACAAATATCTCCCACTTAAGCCAAAACATAAAAAGAAGGGGAAAACTCAGGAAACTCAGGACCCTTATTGGTCATTTCTCAAGTTTTGACTTTCCTCTCATTCACTTGTTATTATTTACTTTTTTAGAATTTGCAGGTAGTTGATTTTTGTATTTTGTCCTGAATTTTTAGTTATCAGTGGAAGAGATGGACTGTAATAGGCATAGTCCCTCTTGCTCAGCATCATAAGTCCTTTTCTCTGATTTCAAAATGCTGTTTTTTGGATGAGTATTTTCTATACAGGGATAATCTCTTAGAGAATTACAATTTTTAGAATGATTTAACTTGTATGTTGTTTGCCAGATGTTTTTTGCTGTTTCCAGGAGGTTATTGAATTCAAACGTTATTTAATCTAGGAAAAGAATAAAAAATGAACAGATACCCTTTCCTCAAAGGAGCACACAATTAAGTTGGGTGATGCAGTGTTAAACAATCATAGAATTACCATAGTAGAATATTATCATTATATCAGGCCTGGTACAGTGGCTCATGCCTATATTCCTAGCACTTTGGGAGACTGAGGTAGGAAGATCACTTGGGGCCAGGGCTCAAGACCAATCTGGGCAACATAATGAGGCCTCGTCTCTATAAAAAAGAAAAAAATTAGCCTGATGTGGTCGTGCACACCTGTAGTCTCAGCTAGTCAGGAGGCAGAGGCAAAAGAATCACCCAAACCCAGGGGATCAAGACTGTGGTGAGCCATGATTGTGCAACTGCACTTCAGTTTGGGCAACAAAATAAGACCCCAACTCATAATAAAAAGAAAGAAAGTATTTTCATTTTACAAAAATACCACAAATGTAATATTAATGAACTGATAAAGAAGAGAAAAGACAACAAAAAAGACTTTGTGGACTACATAGCTTTTGAGCTGACCTCGAACATGAAAAGATGGGGAAGAGGTGCATCTTGGACAATGAAACAGTATGAACATGGGTACTGTGGCTAAAATAATGGATGCAACAGAATGAAGAGTGAGTTGTTCAACTTTTTTTAAAAAGCATACGTGTTGTTAAAAGAATATTCACACATAAACCTCCAAACCTAAAAAATATTTCTAAAATGTGATATAATTTGTATTTATTTATTTTTTTGAGTTGGAGTCTCACTCTGTCACCGCTCCTGGCCACCGCAGCCTCGACCTGCTGGGCTCCAGCTATCCTTCCGCCTCAGGCTTCCAAATAGCTAGAACTACAGTCGTGCACTACCAAGTCTGGCTAATTTTTTATTTATTGTAGAGATGAGGTCTTGCCAAGTTGCCCAGGCGGGTCTCATACCCGCGGGCTCAGGCAATCCTCTCACCTTGGCCTCCCAAAGTGCTGGGATTACAGGCTGAGCCACCAAGCCCAGCCAATTTTTATTTATTTCTAATTTCCCTTTTTACTACCTTAAGTTTCTTAGGCATATAGTGCTCTTTTTATTAGTTGACTGCATCTAAGATATCACACTAATCTGTTGATCTCTTTTCTTTCTACATATAATTAATGTTATGGACTGAATTATGTCACCTCCAAATGTCAAAACCATAATCCCCAATGTGGCTGTATTTGGAGATTTCTTTTAAGGAGGTAACTAAGGTTAAAAGAGGTTATAATGGTGGGGCCCTAATCTAATAGGACCGGTGTCCTTATAAGAAAAGGGATAAATCAGGCGTAGTGGTTCATGCTTGTAATCCCAGCACTTTGGGAAACTGAGGCAGGAGGATTGCTTGAGCTCAGGAGTCTGAGACCAGCCTGGGCAACATGGTGAGATCTTGTCTGTTAAAAAAAAAAAAAAAGTAGCCAGGTGTGGTGGTTCATGCCTGTAGTCACAGCTACTAGGGAGGGGAGGCAGGAGGATCTTTTGAGCCCAGGAGTTTGAGGCTGTGGTGAGCTGTGCCCATGCCCCTGTACATCAGTCTGCACAACAGAGTGAAACCCTGACTCAAAAAAGAGAAAGAGAGGAAGAAAAGAGAAGAGGGAGAAACACAGCAGCTCTTGCATGGAGCGAAGGTTGTTAAGGACACAGTGAGCAGGCAACTGTCTGCAAGCCAAAAAGAGAGGCCCCTG